GGCTTTTGAATTTCCTCAAATCCGTTTGGCTGTTGGGGCTCAAGAAGTCTGTTCACTTCCTTTATCGGCTGAAATTTACTCCGACATATACGATGTTGCCCTTCCGAAGGTTAAAGAAGCTTCTCAGTCACCTGATACTTCTTGCCTTGAATCCTCTTCGAAAGATATTGTTCAATCAAATGTCAAAGGCCTCACCGGATATGAATTAGAATGTGCTTCCGATGCTACAATTATTTCTAACTCCACGACCGAAAAGTTTTCCTCATCAACACTCACATCGCAGCAGGGAATTACGCCCTCTCTCGAGTCCCCTCAGCGAGAAATTGAGATAACAGGACTTGGCAGCAGCTCGGCTTCATCACCCTCTTTGATTGGATTAGCTGACGATCCATCGTTAGCCCAATCACCTTGTACGCTAGCGAGCGGGTGTCCTCAGGCACATAGTCATCGGTAAGTTGGCTAAAATGATGCGTTTCTTTGCTTCCGCTCCTTTTCGATAATGCTTATACTCCTGTTTAGGAGATAAATTTTTGTTTATTAGTCTTAATTTTTGCGAATATGGATCCTATTAATGGATAACAATTTAATTAACTGTTTTATTATTTTTTTATGTTTGCGGAAACAAGAGTTTCTCTATAACTTATGCTTCCTTATTTCTAGTTGTGAATTCTTTAATCATTCTCTATAAATTTTTATTTTATATGAGCACTTTAGAATATGATTTTTATACCTTTATTTATATATTTGTCCCCTACGAATCCATATATTTTCCAATTCGTTTGTGATTTCATTCCTAATGGCCTCTCATTTTTGTCTTTCTGTTTCTCTCCTTTCTTAGACCTTTCATCGTACGTCCTGGGGATGAGGACCTTCGTATTTTCTGTTTGGAGTTGTTGTTTCAGGTGCTTCTTTACAATCGCGACCGCATGAGCCGCCTTTGGCCTGCAGTTCGTGGCCATCTTGCTGACCTAGTCAATGGGATTGCTGCTGTTTTACAGCCTCCCCCACCTTATCATAAATTACCTTTAGGCTCATCGTCTCCTCGACCTATTATCACATCATCTGGCCGTCTTGAATGCACTTCAGAAATCGGTCCGATACCAAATGTTCCAGCTGGTGGCAGTGGTTCTGGTAACGTCTACGAATCAGGTCAAGATAGATTGGTTTTATCAGCAGCAGCGATATCCAACAGTCTTCTTTTAGTAGAGCGTGTATTCGTTGGACTCTTAAGACTCGCCATGCGTCTCCTGCGCAGACAGGAGATGACCACTCAGGTGGGTCGGTATGTTGACTAATGGAGCACGCCTTTTACGAGTCTATTTTTAGGAACCTTTCTAAGATATCGATAAACCATAAATTTATTAAAAGCTAATAGTAATAACCACATTCGGTTGCTTTGGCTATTTCTGGACTAATCATTGATTTCTTTGCGGCAGCCCAGGCTTTTTATATTGGCATACCTTTCATTTCGTTTGAGAAGAAGGGTCGAAGGGATTCGTAGCTCGGCCTCACTGGATACCGAAGGAGGGTTGCCCTGGACTTTTGTATGTTTAATTGTGTGAAGAAGACCTCGGCTGATCGTCCTACTACCCCGGTAATCCTGTGTTGAGCTTTCGTCCGTCATGCTACGGACATCGTCAGAGCTAGAAACCATAATCCAATAAAATCACCAAAACACTAAACCAGAAATAATTTTTAATTTGTTTTTTCATTATGGAGAAGATTTTTGAGATTACCAGTGAATCAGATATATGAGTTGTCTTCACCCTATTTCGTTTAAGATGATGAAAAACTAATAGTTGAATTTTCCCACAATTATATAAGTAGAGTTGCTTTTCCAAAAGTTATTCTCATCAAAGGTGGACTGCACTTTCGACCTCACCTATGTCTTATCAGCATCCCCCAGTCCTTCCTCACCTTAAACAAAATTGAGGGAAACAACTCAACAAATGAATTTAGTTTTAATCTCTAAAACCTATTCAATAACGAAAAAAGTAATGTCGTCGATTGCTATAGCAAATATAAGTTTGTTTCATTGATAATCCTAACACAGAATGTGTTATTGAAATTCACATTTGCCATGTCACTTAAGGGCACTCGTGGCAATGCGGCGTAGTGATTATCGTTTCGAGATTTCACGCTGCACTGCCATATTTTGAATCTCGCCGGTGTCGTTGATAAGACCTAGCCGAGGTCGAAACTGCAGTCCACCCTGGATGAGAGCATCCTTTTGGTAAGCAAAGCTATGCGAAATTTAATCAAAATGTCAGCTCTACTCATTATTGCTAAAAAACTCAACTACCGGTCCATAATCACCTTAAACGAAATTGGGTGGACACAACTTATTTTCTTCCTAATCTCCCGCTTAACTGTGAAGTCCTCATATCTGGCAAAACGTTGCGATTTAAACTACTATTTTTCGAAACCTATTCTCTTTATTATCCAGTTGGTTGGCTGTGCTTTGGGGCTAAATGACGCTGTCATAAGATATGGAATTAAACTCAGCTTCTTAAATTATGGAAGAATGCATGACTTCAATAGTAGGTTCATCGTAAGAGGTGCATGTGCACATGCCAAGTTTAAATAATTTATAGTCATGCAAAATCCCTTGATCAATATAATATTTTGCAAAGTGGAGCTTCTTGTTTTAGCTTCAGTAGCCTAGCTTTCAAAAGTGGACCGTTAATATGACCTTTGAGTGCCTTTTATATCTTCCTCTTACCATTAACTGATATTGGCTTAAAGTATTACTCGTATGAGAGTAGGGTTTCGAGACTACCAGTAAATCAGTGTAATGAGATGTATTCACCCTATCTCGTCTAAGGTGATGAAGGAATGGTGGTAGAATTTTCCCACAATGATATGAGTTTAGCTGACATTTCCATTGAATTTCACATGTCCTCGCTTTCCCAAAAGTTGTTCTCACCCAGGGTGGACTGCAGTTTCGACCTCGCATCGTTCTTAACCACACCCCCAGCGGGAGTCGAACCGTGACAGTGCAGAATGTGAGCTTGACACGTTAACCACCCGGCCACATTGCCACGAGTGCCTACTCTCATACCAATATAAGTAACGTTGTCGATTGTTATAGCAAACATACGTTTGCTTCATCGGCACTCCCACCAAAAGAAT